ACTATAATCAGTTGGAAGATGTGAGAGTAGAGGAACGAGGGGAGTTGCAAGAAAAAGGACATGAAATGCAAAGGGGTAGATTTTGTCATTGCAGTACTGATGTGAAATGTAACAAATTATTTTGTTAAATTTCGGCTGCATGTATTTAGTGTTGAGCATATATTGCTTGATTGTAATAAAACCTCTAAGCAGTTAAGGGAAGGGGGTAGCTAAGCTTTGAAATAGCAGTTTACACATCACCAGTTAGTATAGACTTGTCCTTCCCTGTAACAACATATGAACTTTTAAAAAATTCTCAGCACACTTACTTCAGAGTAACCCTCAGTGAACCCAATGGGAACAGAAGGTTCACTTACTTCAGTGCAATGCAATGAATTTATGTGCGCTATCATATACATGATTTGCTTCACCCATTCTTGCAACCTCCCACCATTCCTCTGCATCCAGCCAGTCCCTGATACAGGAGTAAATATCAGATGTAATAGAAGCTATGGTTTCCCACTATGTGAATGTGTATCCAGTTTGCACCTTTACTCCCTCCTCTCCCTTCCTTGGTGTGCCTCTGAGTTGGAGAAAAACCTTTGCTTGCAGTTTTTTAACAAACCAGAGTTCCTCATTATGTCTGAATTCATGGAACTGTGGATTGTTTGTTTAGTGAAAATAAGCCAGAATTAAATCATGATTGCAGATCCTGGTTTGTTCTAACAAATGTAAAACTTTAGTCAGGACAAAACAGAGAACTGTGCTTAGTATAAAACTGATCTCCTCATGGGTGCAAAAGAGGAGGCAAGCACAATGTGCACTGTGGTTTATTCATAAGTGAAGACCATTAAGACTGAATTAGGGCTATGTGTGTTCTAAATCATAATCCCAGAGCTGGTTCAAGCTTCTGCCTAAAGCAAAGGACAAGATCCCTATTCCATGTACAGAAGCTGGCTGGGCTGGCATTTGGATTTTGCTTCAATGTTGGTGATAGAGTTACACCTGAGAGCAGCAGACTAGCTTAGTGTGCAGGGCTCTGCCCTCCAACACCATGCTGCCAGTCTCAGCGTTGGCTGCTTCACTGTGCTCAATGATAGAGCCAGCGCTGCACATTCACGGGTCAGCAGTAATCCACACTTCTCACTACTTCCATCCTAGCCCATGGAGTAGCACTTTGTGCAGCATAGCAGCATGATGGATGCTGCAATGTCAGCAGAAGAGGCAGAGTCAGGTCACAAGAGAAGTGACAAATATCCCCCTAAACTGAGTATTTTATCTGAGTTGCATCCTCAGCAATGAAGAGCACACATACACAGCCAGACCCTATTCATGTTTACTTAGATGTCAGCTTACTCCCAGCTAAATGCATGTAAGATTGCAGCCTATGAACATTTAGTAACTTTGCGCAATTTCAAATTAAAACATGAAGAGCCCTAACTAAAAACAGGATACAAGAAATAGAAACCTGACATGAGACTTCACTGTAATAGAGGGAGTGGAGAGAAACAGATAACAGTACATACAGGACAGAGTACGGTTGGGGAAAACCAAAGGCAAGTGGAAACCAATGAAGGGATTCAAGCATGGGCACAACATGAGCAAAAGGGGAAGGAGATAGATGTACCAGTAGCATTTCTGAATTTTGCTGAAGAAGAACTTTGAAAAAGAAAGAGGAAGTTCTAGCCCCTTGAACAGGAAGCCTCCGAAACTTTTGCTTATAGGAACATGTAGCAATGGTTGTGCAAGATCAAGAAGAATATTCTGTGTGCAACATCCTATACATGGAAGGCTAATTTGGTGACAATGACCCCTCAGGCAAAATGCTGAGATATTATTTAGCTCAACAAATACACAAAACCCATTTGTAATGTTGTGCAACGCACACGACTAACAGTGTAACCAAACCTGAAATCTGAAGCAATGAAAAGGAAGGTAAATGCCAACAGCTTTTCTTGAATTTCCATCCCATGCTGAAGAGGTACTTTTCACGTTGTTGTTGTTGTTGTTGTTTTTAAATAAACTTGATTGATTTTCCTCTAAAGCCAAGCAACTAGTTCCTCTGAAAACTTTGAAGAAACCACCAGCTGCATGCATCATTCTTCCATGTGCACACAAATAACTTCCACTGAGCTGTGCAGTAGTTGAGTTTTTATAATGTGAAGTCTGTCAAGTATCCCCCCATGTGGTGGGTGTGGGGCAAAAAAATACAAGTCCACAAAGAACAAGCAAACACCAAGTTTATGATCCACTGCCTTAGATGACAGTCACATCAGTCACCAAGGGGCCAACAGAGATATAAAGTTACAGAAACCTGAAAATCAGTCGTGACAGCACAAAAGAATTTAAACCAAATTTAGCTCACCCTCACACTAAAAGAGGGTTTTCTGCGATAACCATCAGCCATGACTACCCCAGTTCACATTACGGAATGTTATCCCAGTGAATCCAGTGATCAGAATATTTTCATTTTGACTTCAATAAAAGCAACTTCAATAACAAAGAGTAAATTAATTGTAAGCCCATCCTTCCTTTTTTCAAATTGGAAAATTGGATCCATTCCATGTATCCCCCAAAACAAGTGAAAACGGATAGACAGACCATGGAATACTCCAGCCATGCAGCCCGGGCTGTATAAATTGATTGACCCTTATTGCATAACCCTCTACAGTTATATTAACTTCGAAGTGATGAAGCACAGGAGGAATAAGATATAGACCAATGACCCTTTCAGTGGAAGCCCTGCACACAGGCTTTTCACCTCCCCACAATTGGCTTGGGGGTGTCTGTGTCAGAAGAACCTCCAGAACAGTGCAGGGGGGTGGAATCATTCCATCTGGCAAACCTTCTGCTTGTGCAGATGGAACGTTTGTAATAGTGCACGTTTAATTCCACCCACAAACACTAAGAACATAAAGAAGAGCCCTGGTGAATTTCCTACCAATCAGCATCATCAGATAAGCCTAGGTTCTCGTATTAGGAGAGAGGGTAGAAATACTTCTCTGTCTTCACACCATTATATACCTCTATCATGTGCCCCCTTCTGTACCATTTTGCCAGATGTTGCAACCTTTCTACATAGGACGAATGTCTCCAGGCCCTTGAGCATTTCCGTTGCCCTTTTCAACTTCAGCAGCAGATGAAAGTGCCAAGAATACGCCAGAAGAACAAGCTTTTCTAAACACACACACACACAACACAGAATGCCTGTACCTTCCTGTGTTTCATGACATTTTGGCCTCCCTCTTTTATAATTTTCCAGCTATATCTGTATATGTAATACATACATACATGCTAGTTATTATAACATCATCAATGCACATGGTACTTTACAGGGTACAAAAAGGGTCAGGTCTCTGCCCTGAGGAGTTTACAGTTACAGGAGCTTGCAAAACTGACAATGTTTCATGCAAAGGACAGACAAAAGCTGGTCTACAAAAGCTTATGCTGCAATAAAGACTAGCCTTCAAAGGTGCTGCAAGACTCTGTTCCAGAATCAGTAACATGTCCACTGCTATATACTACTAGAAGTTCAGTGAAGATTCAACCTAAATGATATTTTATGCAGCTGCAACAAGAATCCTGCAGTTCTTTATTTTACTGTCTGGCCTCACACTCTGTGCAAGCCAGAGCTTAACAAAAGTGCCAGGCAAACTTTCCACATAATGGAGCTTATGAAGCATATAAGAAGAGACAGGCAAACAAAGAAAAGGATCAAGGGCAGGAACTATTCAGCATCATCCTTTGTTTCCGGATCTCATGTGGCTCAATCAATGGGGCTCCTGCAAGTTGAGCTCTTTGAGGACTGGAATCTTTCTATTCACATTCAGATCTACCAGAGTATCCATACTGAGCTGATAATGAGAAAACATTCTAGAGAAGCTAGAAGTTGCAGGAAGGAATATTTCCCAGTGAATTAATTTAAACAGACGTTCACCTTTGAACTTTCAAGAGGAAAACATCCATGCACCCGCACACAGCTCAGTTCTCCAGATGCAAAGCATGAAACAGGTGTTTTGCTTCTTACTATACAAGCCTTGCCATTCAAATATTGAAAGAAAACTTAAAACTGCACAATGTTTCAAGGACACATCACAAAGTTTCCCCCTCTTTCTCTGTTTGCACTCGCTTTCTTTTTATAATCTCTTCCACGCTTTTCACCTGCTCACAGGCTTAAAAGCTGTACTGATAACATCTGCACAACATTTGAAAAAGAGGAAACGAGAAACTAAGCACCTGCTGCTGACATAAAACAGTACAAAACTGTGCTGGGTCTGCCCCTTAGAAAAGTCACAATAACAGCCACCGGCAACGTATGACTGAGGAGGAGTTTACAGAGGGAAAAGAGTGTGACAAACCAATTGAGTCTGAGCACTCTGGGGAAAGTCCAGTTCTTAAACGCTGCTTAACAGATAAACGCCTTTGTATGTCGAGAGGGTACAGTGAGAGGGCTCCGAAAGGGTGGGGAGAATGAAATAAAAAGACTGCTGTTACAAGTGAGCTTCGCGTTGAATGCCACATTTAATATGTGTGTGTGTCCCCCCTTCAAAGAACGATTTGTTCTGCAAACACATACTCCCAACCTCGGATCGCTCCTGGTGTTCATCTACTGTACTTTGAATTTGATTCATGCATTGTTAGGTTTGTGCAATTTAGGGAGGGAGGAGGTGCAGGGTTTGAAACGCACCGACAGAGCTAAACAATAACCCATGCTTTCATTCAAAGGGTTGGCTCCTTCCCCCAGGAGGAACACAATGATGTCCCCCGTGTAAGTGGAGGGAAAACTCTCTCTGTGTAGGGATGGGTGGTATTTCCCCTTTTTATTTCGTGTGCATTCATGTCCTCAGGTGCCATTTGCTTAGGCTTATACAGTACTCTTTGAAGTCCTCCGCTTTGGAAGCCTCCAACGTGACCGTCGGTTCACAGAAGGTGGACAAGCCGCCACACTCCAGCCCAGCCCAGCGACTTCTCCATCGGATTTCTTTCGGAAGAGCAGCTTTTTCCCCCGCTCCCAAACTCACCTGCAGGATCTTGTCCAGCCCTTCCTGGCCCAGGCAGGGGAAATCCTTGAGGAGTTGGGTTTTCTTGTCCTTGTAGCTCTGCGTCGCTTGCTTCCAGTAAGGCTGCTCCAAGACTTCGAAAATCGCTGCTCCGATGGACAGGTAGAAGATGATCGCCGACGTGAGCAGGGGACCCCTGTCGACCATGGCGGCGTCCAGTGGGGGACGCTCAGCGACAGCGAAAAGGAGAGGCGGCCGCGGGGATGTGCCTGGCGAGGGAAGCGGAGAGCAGACCTGAGCTCCCTCTGGAGAGAATGCGAGGGACTCTCACGCGCTGCCTTGCCTTAGCCTGCCTCTGCTCCCCACCCCTTCCTCCTCCCCGAAGCCCCTCTTTTTATTTGCCTCTCACTTCATTCTGCTCTCCTCCCACCGTCTCCTCCTCCTCGTCGCTTCCCCCCACCGAACCACCCGTTCTTCCGACGGTCCTCCTTTCTCTGCCTGCGTCTCTTTCGCTGTTTGAATTTGGTGCCCTTCTGCTCCCCCACTCCTCTCAACCAGCGGCGCATGCGGAGCCGTTACCGGTTGGCCGGTGGCGGCGGCGGCTCCGTTCTCCCGCCTCAGAGACGGAGGCAGCGGGGAAGCCTCATTCAGCCCGCCTGTGTCCCATGTGGCGCGCGGACTCCGTGTCCCGGCGCGTTCCGTGGCAGTGGCGGTGGCAGCAGCGGAGAGAGGGCGCCGTGGTCGCCACGCCGCGTGCGCCAACAGCCGTCTCTTTCTCAGCTTCTCCCAGCCCGCTCTCTCAGCACGGAGTGGCCCCGGCCCGCCCTGAGAAAAGCTATTTAGGAGCGGAGCGCCCGCCCTGCGCGGTGCCAGCTCGTGGAATGGTCAGAGCTAGCTGCTGCCACCGCCTGGGCGGGGTGAGCTGCGCTCCTCGGCAGTTAAGCGAGGTGCTTGCTTGCTCTTACGTTGACCTGGGTGGGAGCCTACGTCAAGTGTGTGTGTGTGTGTGCGCGCCTGTCTGCCTGTCTGTCTGTCTGTCTGTCTTTCACTCTCACATTCCCGCCCTCCGAGGGCTGAAGGAAGGCTCAGCACTGGCAAAAAAGAAAAAGGAAAAAAAAGGGGGAAAAGTGGATTTAAAAGTTCAAAAAAGTAGCCACGTTCGTTATCTCAGATAAAATGATCACTCTGGAGCTGAAGCTCATCTGTATGCTTTACGCAGTGCTGGAAAAGGAATAATGATCATGATGAATAAAATAAAATTGTATAACATCCTTTATCCACAGATCTCAGGGCATAAAAATACAAGATAAAAACACAAAAAGTAGTGGCCAGGCCTGCTTCCCTTGGCAGCAGTGCGTTTTGGTGGGGGCCTCCATGCTGCACCCCAATCCTTGCCCCACCACCAAATGACAGAGGGCTATCTCCCTCCCTTTCTTTCCCCTTTTCCTCTCAAGGAGCTCAGGGCAGTGTACATGGTTCACATTATCCTCCCACAACCCTGTGAGGTAGGTGAGGCTGGGAGGCCGTGGCCAGTTTAAGGTCACCCAGTGAGCTAATGCCGGTCGCCCAGATCAGAGTCCATTGCTAACCACTGCACCATGCTGGCTGCCAAATAATAATGGTGGGTGAGGTTGCCTTCCTCTAAGCATGAGTGGGTTGACTTGAGGGCAACCAAAGCATGAGGGCAACCAAAATGGTCAAAGGCCTGGAAAGGATGCCTTATGAGGAACGGCTAAGGGATCTGGGCATGTTTAGCCTGGAGAAGAGGAGGTTAAGGGGTGATATGATAGCCATGTTCAAATATATAAAATGATGTCACATAGAGGAGGGAGAAAGGTTGTTTTCTGCTGCTCCAGAGAAGCGGACACGGAGCAATGGATCCAAACTACAAGAAAGAAGATTCCACCTAAACATTAGGAAGAACTTCCTGACAGTAAGAGCTGTTCAACAGTGGAATTTGCTGCCAAGGAGTGTGGTGGAGTCTCCTTCTTTGGAGGTCTTTAAGCAGAGGCTTGACAACCATATGTCAGGAGTGCTCTGATGGTGTTTCCTGCTTGGCAGGGGGTTGGACTCGATGGCCCTTGTGGTCTCTTCCAACTCTATGATTCTATGATTCTATGACTTTGACCTGGTGCAGCTTCCCAAAGAGAGAGTCCAATCACCTATGGCTGCTTGCTCACCCTCTGTCTCTAGTGGGTGGGTGACAGGCATGTTGCATCAGTGCAACTGATACCCAAAGATTCTGCTTCCCCAGCATCTCTTACAAATTCAATGGTGGCTGGTGCTCATTGAGACTGGTGGCATGGGTGTCGTCAGGATTTATGTTAAGGGGGACAGGCATCATGTTAGGGGGGGCAGAACCTCAGTTAGTTAAGTATTTTTATTGATTTACCCGTTTTAGGGGGGGCAGTTGCCCCCTGCCCCCTCCCTTGGCTATGCTCATGACTGGTGGGATAGAAGGCAGGGGTGCCAGTAGGAGGTTGAATTAGAGCCAATGACAGGCAGAAACCACTGGTCCCCAGTTTTGTCCCCAACCTCCTCCTTCTAAAATTTCAACACTGGGATGAAGGAGGGGGAAGCTGTCAGTCAGTGCCACCCCCCTGGACTGGGTGTCAGTACAGTTGTGGCAGAAAACTCTCAGGTCCACGCACAGCTTTCCAAGTGTCCCTAGAAATATTGTCAACCCAAGCGTGCTTTGGCAGTTGAGTCAGTGCTGAAGCAACAGAAGGCTACAATCCTTTTCACACTTAACATGTTAGCAAGTCCCATAAATTTAGTTATTTGTACCCTTTGGGGGAGCTTTGAGGCTGGCTCATTTTAGCCTCAGGACTCTGTGATGGCATATTTTCCAAGGCTACCCAGTGAGCTTCGTAGATGGCACAGATTTGAACCCAGATGGTCTTGTTCCAAATTCAGCACTTCTGCATAAACACAAATTAGAACAGCATGTAAGTATATCTTTAGCATGTCTGGATGGTAACCTGAATGTGTTAAGAGATAATGAGTAGAAAATGAGCCTTCAAATCACAGTATAGTCCAACACAGTTTTGTTTCTTGGTCTAAAATCTCTCACACAAATTATTTTTGTCCCCCTCCCACAGGTCCTAATAAAAATAACAAGCATATCTAGAGTAATATTTTCTCACTTAACATTTGGAGGTAAGCATATTTTCCTCAAAGAACAAAACATGCTTGCTTTTTCTACCTCCGTTTTTCAGAGGGTGACCATATTAGTTTGCAGCAGCAAAACTAACTGAGTCTTGTGGCACTTTTAACGGCTAACCAGTTTTATTATGGCAAAAGCTTCCATGGACTAGAGACCACTTCATCCGATGTATCATGAAATGCATCTCTTTAACCTCAATGACTACAGTTAAGGTTTGGTGGGTAGCCCCCCCCCCCAGGCATGGGCTCAGTCCTGTCAATGATTTCCCCACACTTACTTTGTAAATGTTTTACTAGGTACACCCTGGGTGGAAAGTAAAAGATTAGCATTCTCATCCCAATGTGAGGTCTCACACATTTAAGGATAAAAGAAAGTTATAAAGAGTTGCAGGCATTACTGCTTCTCACCATCACAGACAGCTTCATGTTTACCTTTGGAAGTCAGCTGTGTCCTGCTGGTCCTCATTGTGGACATACAGCTGTTAAAGTCACAAGAACAATATTTCCCCATTGCCCTAAAGCAAGACCTAGGCTCCCATCCTATACTAATTTACCTGGGAGTATGCCCCATTAAACACAGACTTACTTCTGAAATACACATTTATAGTATGTGGCTAAGCTGTTTTGCAAAGTTTTTACTTTTTGCATTTGCCATTTGAGGAGATGATTGTTCAACACCCACCACACTTTATTGTGTAGTAGCATTTGCTGAAAACAACTTCTTTGGAGCACAGTACCTGATCCCAGACAAAATCACCACAGGAAGGATGCATTCTGGTTGCTGGGGGGTGGGGGTGGGAGATGGAATTACAGAGATTCCATGGACTACTAGAATATAAGGCAGAAGCAGGGCAAGTACACTAAAGAGGAGGGGGGAAACTCTTTAGGACCCCAGGGATTCCTATCCCCCAGTGTCCAAACAAATCAATTATCAATCAGTGGTTTAACTTCACTAACTGGAAAAACACTGACAGGCATGACCAGACAGGATGACTCATTTCATAGGCATTGTTTAGAAGGGTATCTGCACATTTTGATTCATAACTTTCTTTCCCCTGCTTGTGGGCAACAGTGAAGAGTTTCATGGCTGCATAGACCCAATGGAACTGGGACTACTGCTGTAGAAAATACTGATCTGGATGGACTAATGATCTGACTTGGTATAAAACAGTTTTCTTCTTCTTTTTCTAATGGGACTTACTCCCATGTGCATGGGATAGAAGCCTCAGTCAGAAACTGACAAGTAGCATGGGAAAATATTTTCATTTTCTTTGAACTATTCTTTTGTCTGTATGTTTGTCTGCATTCATTGTAAGGGACCGCCACATAAATACTGGCATTGCATGTAGAAGATTGTGCGTACTTAATAGTGTGCAAGTGAGAAACTCTTGTCGGTGGTTTTATGTGACACATTTAGAAACCAGCCTTTATCCACAGTTTACATAAGAACTAAAGTACAAAGCAGACAGCGCAGAAGGATCTTGCAAAATGATATCACCAGGAAATAAATTGACTGATGAAATCAGTACTGATAACCGTAAAGTAATGCAACAACTACTGAAAAACAATTCTAGCTAGAGTGTTAGGCTTACATTAGCGGTTAGCCAGTCAGGAATGAAGTGGATTTAAGTGAGATTGTTCACTCACTACAGCAGCAAGAGGGACCTAACATGCCTGGAATATGCTTTCCTGCACAGATCCTTATCTGGATGAGAAGTTTGCTTGTTTATTTTAGTGCAACCAATGTGCCAGTTTATGGAGTAACAGACAAAAAGGCAGGTCCTTTCCCCAAGGAGTTTCTGGTTTCAGACAGGTGATCAAGAAGGTGGCAAAGGTAAACAGGAAAACAATATGTATTCAGATCAGTTATTCACACTTAAGCTTAGATTCAGTAGGGCATCACAATGAAAATTGTGCTGAAGACTTGGAAAAGGCTCTGCAGAAGGATTTAAAATATAATAATAATAATAATAATAATAATAATAATAATAATAATAATAATAATTTATTTATACCCCACCCATCTGGCTGGGCTTCTAACAAAATATTAAAATACAGTAATGCATC